GGATCCATACTTTGGATACATGTTTTTGTGCGACTGCAAAGCCATGTGCTGAAGGACCCACAATTTCTGCATTTTAGTGTGTGGGCAGAGATCCGTGCTTTGAATACATGTTTTTGCACCACTGCAAAGCCATGTGCGTGGAGACCCATTTATGTGTTATAAGCTTTGAACACAAATGGCGCCTATGAGTGGACAATAGTTTTGGAATGATCTGCAGAAAAATCATTTGGATCCATCTATCATCTCCATGTTTTTGCAAAGCCATGCACTAAAGGACTCATGTTTTCTGTGGTGTAGTCTGTGAGTGCAGCTAGGATCTATGATCTGACATTGGTTTAGGGAAGATAATGTTTAGAAATCATGTGGATATGTAAACCTGTGAGTAAACTGGGTAAATTTACTTACATGTCAATCAGATAAAATGTGCTTCAAGATCATTCAAGGTCAAAAAGGGAAGAAACAGTAATTTCACATTTTAAATGAGCGAGCTGCTGTATATTTCATCTATTTTTAGGATATTTCCACAGGCAGGAGCTGAGAATGTGTAGCCAGGAAGGAGTTAAATGCTTTCTTTCACACTGAAAGCCATGGCAGGGTTTAAAATGGCAGACACCTGCCCTGCGGGCTGACTAGAGAAACATTCTGATTGAGCAGAATATTATGCTATGCAAATAGTTCCTTCAGAATTCTCAAATGTTATAATAACGGAGTAATTTCAGAAGTTTGGGGGCTTAAAAACCAGAGGGTTTGAATTAGAGTCATGAATCGCCCATTTCCTGTGGATGAAAAAAGAAGAAAAGTTAAAATGGAATTTCCCCCCAGATATGCAAATTTTCTCTTTTTAAAATCTTTCTTCAGTTAGCTGTCCAAATGGTCACTTGGTTCTGCATGGGGGTAAAACAGTATTACTTTAAAAAAAGAGAGAACTCAAAAACCTTTTGCCCAAACATCCCCAAATTTGGCACAGAGCAAGAGCAGACTTTCTGCTACATCTGTGCTAAATTTGCTGCTGATCTGAGGAAGATCCCACTCTTAGAGTGGAAAATGAATATTTAGTCTGATGTTTATAAGATACGGTGACCAGTATTTCAGTCTACAGTCTGTTCTTAAATGAATAGAAGTAAATGCCTATATAAAAATCTGACAGAGAGTGCAAAACTTGGTCAGATAGGTCCTAACTTTCTCATTTTGTTTGGTTTCTTTAGATTGGCTACCTCCTCCAAAAGTATTAGGATCAGGTGTTTCACATAAAAACATAATGTACAGATGCGACAAATACGTTTACTTTTGCCTGTTACATACTGTACAGAGATCTGCAGCAAAGAACTGAGACTGGGTACTACAGCTTTAATGTGCCTATACATAATTGAAAATGTACTTTTGTCACTGAGCAGTGGATGAAACAGCTCTTAGTATTTTAAAATGATTTGCACTCACATTTTTATATTTTGCTTTTTTGTTTTGTAAAGTGAATGGGTTATGGCTGCTTTGCTAAGGCCATGTAATTTTAAGGGCTATAGTGAAAGTTTACTCCGATTGAAAAAATGAAAAAAATCAATATTTAATGGGTCACCCTTTTTTCTTTGCATTACTGATTGAATTGATTTGATAACATATGTAGCTTCTCTTGTTTTTGTTGTTAGGCAAAGGACCAAGCTTGTTCTTGCAGTTGTTGCTGCTGCTAGTTGTGTGTGTGTGTGTGTGTGTGTGTGTGTGTGTGTGTGTTTGTGCGTGCGTGCGTGCGTGTGTGCGTGTGTGCGCGTGTGACCCAAATCTTCTCTCATAAGTAGATCATAAAGCAGCTCCTTTTTGCTTGTTCAAGTACATTAATCTTGGTATCTTCAGAATAAAGTGGGTAAAGAATTCTGGAGTTGAATGGCTGGCATTTGAAAGCTTTCTTGCTAATTGTGATGAAAATGGTCTATTGATACGGGACAAATTCTTAGACCAGTGAATCTCAGCTGGTCTGTTGTCAGGTCAATCCCTGAACAAGAGGCTACCTGGGCATCCTGTGTCTTCTGCCTTTGGATTTTTGGTGAAAATCTAGAACACATATGAAATAAATCCTGAATTTAAAAAAGATTTATTTTGGAGTTCTCTCACTTTGCCTCAGCATTTACTTCCAGTTTGCCTGTGTGGATCAATAATATGAAAAATGGTGCAGACAAAATATTATTGCTGTTATTTGACTTCCCATTCCAATTTGGTGCTTCAGCGTGTCCACTAACCATGGTCATTTTGATGGTGGTGGTGGTGGTTCTCCTCCTTCTTCATTATAATTGGAGCCACTTCTCAATGGTGTGGTCTTCACAGGGTGTTTTGCAAAATTCAGTGGCATAATATAAAAGCACTTTAAATTTAAATGATTTACGTTATACTCTTCTCAGCACTCTCTCTCTCTCTCTCTCTCTCAGTCTGCTCCCTCAAGGATCAAAATTGATTGATGGGTCAGGGGGCATTTATCTCAGGGTCGGGGAGGGGAGGAACTGCAATTTCTTTTACCAAAGTGGTAAAAGAAATCTGCTTATGATTAACACATAGTTTTTGACTGCTATGTATCTTAGATTTTAGGATGTGGGTTGTGACTGGTGACTGGAATTTAAGCATAGGTCTAATTTACAAGTCTGATAGCTGAGACACTTATCTCTGAGATAATCCCATTGTGGGAAAGATAATAGGTTTATCATAAAAAATGCATTCACTTTAATTTGGACGCCGAATTGGCTCACATTATCTAGACTGATCATAGTATATACTTGCTAGGTTGCTGTTGCTAGGCAGAATTATCAGTGCTGTTACTAAGCAGGCAAGATCATATCTGTGATTTATTTTCTTGTACGTACATCCAAAGAAGTTTTGCTGAGGTACAGTGAGCATCCGAAGTAGATTTGGATTTGAGAGTTTTGACTTCTGAGTCCTTCATTTTATATTCCATCAAAAACAGTTTAATAGCCAAATATTCTTTACATAGCTTTATCTCACACAATAGACAGTGCTTATACATTTATATATTTGTTTATTTACTGGATTTTTATACTGACCATCTAGTGGAGACCACTGCTCCACTGGTTTACCACAGTACACACACACAAATAAAATAAAATCAGACAAACTGTACTCAGAACAATATAAATAATAACGACTATAATGCAGCAGGATAAGCAGCAGTAAAATTATTTGTAAAAGTAGGTATTGCATTTTATTTGTAGCTTTTTCAGTTCTGAGTTCTAATAACGGTAAATGGCAGCCTTAAACATTTTATGACTAGCTTGCTGCATTCAGCTGTGTTTAAGCCTTTTCCATTCAAATGTAATTCAGATATGGAGCTTATGTTTCAAGTGGTATTTCACATATGGAAATATCGAAACAATAGATATCAGTATAACTCCTGCATGTACAATTAACTAACTTTTTTTAATGAAGCCATTTCGATGTTATCACATTGCTGAGCAAGTAATTGGTTCAACATGAATAAATCTTGGCACGTTTTCAAAAATTGTCTTCTTTTTCCAAGCTGAAACTATTACAATACAACAGTGAGACAGATTGTATTTCAGAGGACTACAAATTCAAATGTGCCTAAGTAAGAATTTTCCAATTTTACAGGATTATTTTTAGAATAGGAGTTAGACATTTGGCTGTCTAGCAGCCTTTTCAGGGATTTACTGTGCCAACATTTAAACCAGCATCTGAAGATGCTGTTTGCACCATTAAAAAAAAGTATATATCTCGCTGAGCTTCTTAAAATGACTATGTTATGGTGTATAATGTGTTTATCTGCTTTTTTTAAAAAAAATCTAAAATCATGGTGCAACACCTCTGTATTCAGTACTCTGTCCAGGGTGGCATTTTAGAATTCAGCATGGAAGAGGAGAGTTTGATTTTTAAGAAAAGTTTAAAGGCCCAGTCTTGGATGTATTCAGAATTAATTGTGTACTTTTGCACATGTTTTTTTCTGACATATGGCCTATTAGTTCAACAAGAGTCTAACCAACACATGCAGAATATTAGAAACACAGGACACTTCCTTATACTGATTTAGACTCTTGGTTCATCTAGATCAATGGTTCCCAAGCTTGTGTAACCTAGATGTTCTCAGAAGCCTCCACCACCAGCTGTGCTGACCAGGGTTTTTGGGAGTTGTAGTCCAAGAACACCTGGGTTGCCCAAGGTTGGGAACCACTGATCTAGACCAGTGGGTCTTAACCTTTGTTACTCGGATGCTTTTGAACTGCAACTCCCAGAAACCCCAGTCAGGACAGCTGGTGGTGAAGGCTTCTGGGAGTTGCAGTCCAAAACTCCTGAGTAACCCAAGGTTAAGAACCAGTGCACTAGACTCATATGGTCAACTCATAATGGCAGCAGTTCTGCAGGATTCCAGGCAGGATTCTTTTCAAGTCCTGCGTGGAGGCCTATGAAATTTGGAGACATAGTTCCTAAATGATTCGGAGGTAGAGAATTTCAAATTTGTGCACAGCTATAGGTCAAGTAAACAGGTCCAAGGATTCTTTTACACTCCTCAAAAAGCTGCTCATGCTCTTGATCAATAGGGTTGAAGGTATACCAGCTATTTGATCTTGCTGCAAAATTGGGAAGAGTCTCATTAGTTCAGTAGTAATAGCGTATCCAGACCAAGTGTGAGGGGTGGACTAAATTGAATTCTTGACTGGATTTAAAAATATGTTGTTATGCCCTTTAATGTTGTTGTATAATTTTACTTTTCTCTAGGGACAGGGGTTAGGTAAATTGGTTTTTAGGTTTTTATACTGCACTTTTTTTTGGTTTGTCAAGCTGCTTCAATTCTTGCTTATTGGAAAAGTATAAAAAGTTTGGTGGGAAAATATATGTATAAATAAATAGGTCCTTTTTGAGATTTCATTCTCAGCTTGCAGAAGTATGTATGTATTTGAAAAATATGAATCTTTGTTTGGATTTTTAATGTTATTTTTTATGATAAAGGTCCTTTCATTTATGGTTATATGTATATTTTTCTCTTGTAGTATTTGGGATGTATAGAGGTCTTGCGCTCCATGAGGTCTCTAGACTTCAATACTAGAACACAGATTACAAGGTAAGATTATGTGTTTGTAAACAGCTGCATTTTTAAAAACACATATCCAAAACCAGCACTTTCACTTGACAGAAATAAAAAAACTGTGTTCAGCCCAATATGCCTTTCTCTTTCCAGGTGAAAAGACAATTGTATTCCTGTTGGTGTCCCAGTATAAACAATACACATCCATCCATCCGTCCATCCGTCCATCCATCCATCCATCCGTCCATCCATCCACAAAAACTCTTTATTGTCTTTGTATATCTGATTTTAAACAAATGATGGTGGACATTATTCTGATTTACATTAAATACAGTAGGGCCACTGTATCCACAGGATCCGTACCCATGTTTTCAGTTATCTACTGCTTGAAAATTTTAATTAAAAAAACCCAGAAATGTGTTTCCAAGATGCATGATCAGAACTGGCCAATATAGGGAACTCTGTGCTACACAGAGAGTTTGCATATCCGTGATTTTCAGTATCCATGGAGGGTGGGAGCTTGGAACTGGTCTTGAAGCAGAGAAGCCCATAGTGAATGAATTATTTGATTGCAAAATCTTACTAGGTAGATGGAAAGCAACAGAGCATAAGGTGCTGTGCCTGATGCACAAAATGGAAAAGCTGATGTTAGTAGTTTTAAGTGAGCATATTTGGTTTCTTTTAAAGCTTGACACATGCTTTCTTTATAGACATCAATGCTGTTTCCCCCCCAGTCCTATTGAAAAATCAGAGTTAGGCTTTGTATAATAGAAATAAAATATATAATGACTGAAATCCGGTAGTATGTTGCAGATAGAGTAGGCCCATTGAATCAGAGGAGATTTGGTAATTTTGTAAGAGTCACTGATTCTATGGGTGTGCTCTAGTTGTGACACTACCTGCTTTTCAGGCATGGGTACTGTAAAAGTTGTTTTAAATGTGTTTCCATTTATGCTGAAAAATGTATGAAGAAAAAATATGCAACTGTTGCTTTTTTATGAATTTAATCTCCAAACCTGACTCTTATTTTCAAAACAAGATCCTTTTGTTACTTAAATTTTTTTCAATATAATTTCTATACAATTTCAAATCACTTACTGCATGAACCATGGCAATGGTGTTATTTTAAAGGTATTTCCAGAATTTCCAAGGATAATAATTGTTTCTGCAGAAAGTAATTGGTCTTCTATGTCCTTGAAAAACCTTGGCTTTGCTAAAAGACAATAGTGAATGCTTTGTCATATGTCTGCAATTACATACAAGGTGAAAATTTAAGTAACGCTGCCTGGTGAAATGAATTGCTACGAGTTGTATGTTGCTGTGTCCTTTCATAGAATTAATTGTGTTTCCTTCCTTCTGGCTCCATTTTCTGAATTTGGTCACCTATGCTGTTTGAATGAGATCATTCTGTATAAGCCTAGTGAGAACTCTGTTAAAAACTAAAGGCAACGTCTGTGAAAAAGAGGTGGACTGTAAGACAACTGAACTTGAATTTGGACTGATTGTACTTTTGTGTTTAGACTTCTTTTGAACTCTTGTTTGCTCCTCTCTTTAGTGGAGTATAAAGCATGTATTCAATCATTCAACACCATCTACTGTGCCTTTACTTTCCTTAAAAAGCAATTTGTTTTGTTGACAGCTAAGAAACCACATTGTTTTTGTGATTGCCTTATTTTTAATGAATTTGTTTGGACACTACATACAAGAGCTTTTATTCAGGCGGGTATGTGGGGAGCCAGAGCAAGGTCAGAGTGCTCTCTTCTCTTTCATCAGTATGCTGTGATTTGGTTTTGGGTATGGAGGAGGACGTTTAGCCAGCTCACTGGCTGTCTATGCTGGGTTTCCGTGTAAGAGGCAATGAGAGACCCAAATGCCCCTGGATGCCAAACACAGATCCCTTCTGGCCACAATTCCAAAAACTGTTCTGTATTCTCTTCTCTATATATCTTCCGTTTCCCTGAAAATAAGATAGGGTCTTATATAATTTTTTGCTCCAAAAAACGCATTAGGGCTTATTTTCAGGGGATGTTTTATTTTTTTTCATGTACAACAATATACATTTATTCAAATATAGTCATGTCTTCTTATGGTTGCTGCATAGTGGTAGAGAGAGGGGTTTCACTTAACTGGGGCTTATTTTTGGGGGAGGACTTATATTATGTGCATCCTGAAAAATCATACTAGGACTTATTTTCAGGTTAGGTCTTATTTTAGGGGAAACAGGGTAGATGCAGATGGCCTGGAGCCTGCTCAGCACAAAGCCAACAACTGCTTGCCTGCCTCAAGAGAGGAGTTGGTTTGGCCTCTCTCTGATTTATTTTTGTCTTTGACTTTCTCTCTCTCTTTTTTTGGCCTTGTTTCTTGGAGATTTTTTAAAAGTACTGCTGTCTCTTTGTTTTAATAGATTTGTTTCGGAATTGTTATAAGCCACATAAGACACTTTTTACAATGGATGAGAACACAATTTTGAAAAGAAAAAAGAATAAGAGAGATGATTAAAATATCTTAAAGCCTTGTTGCTTATTTCCTGTCCATAGGTAGATATGGACAGTATTTGCCTCACAATTTGCCCAACACAACCACTTGCCAAGGATTTAAGCTCTTTTAATACATTAATACATGCACACCATATCTATATTTCTTTTTCTCACCACTTTGACCTAGAGGCAGAAGTCTTAAGCCATTTCCTCCCTATAAGTGCAATTCAAGAGTTTTGCCCTGTGTGTTCCTTGTCTGTGCAATGAAACCTATACTGGGAAATGGTACTAAATTTTACTGCTTATTTTCTCTATAATACTGAAACAGCAACATCTACGTTGGCTTGGGGATGTCGTGAGAATGGCTGACAGTTGGATTCCAAAAGATCTCCTGTATGGAGAATTAGTGCAGGGAAAGGAAATCGCCCCGGAAGGAGACCACAGCTGTGATACAAGGACCTCTGCAAGCGGGATCTGAAGGCCTTAGGAGTGGACCTCAACAGATGGGAAACCCTGACATTGGAGCGTTCAGGCTGGAGGCAGGCGGTGCAGCATGGCCTCTCCCAATTTGAAGAGACCCTTGTCCAGCAAGCTGAGGCAAAGAGGCAGTCCCGAAAGCAGCAAAATCAGGGAGCTGGACAGGGGACAGATTGTATTTGTCTTCAGTGTGGAAGGGATTGTCACTCAGACCTCTAGTCAGAGCACGTTACCATAGTCTTTTGAGACTGAAGGATTCCTACTTCTCTATAACCTTGCTAGGTACCTTGTAATGGTTTCTACTGCATTTCTACTGCATTTCTTTAGCTTAAGTTGGGCTAAAAAGAAGAATAAATGCTACCCAGCAAAATTTTTTGCTTACTTTCCATATGAGGAAATCATTAACTGGAGTTGCCACCTTTACCATACTTGCCTGGAAATTCAAGACGGCTTCTGAGTAAACTTTCCTAGGCCTGTGGTACTGGAGAAGGTTGTTGTGACAAGCAGGTTTGATAATGTCTTCCTGGATATAGAATATATCCAACAGAGTTGGATGTTATAATCTGTTGCATCGATATCTAATTCATTTTTATGCCCCAAAATATTAGCCTTGCCATGGTAGTACTTGATGATAATCGTATTGCCAGCAGACAGAAACAATTTCAGGCAACAGTTGAAATTCAACATGTGGGCCAGTTTGTAATCCTTCCTGTCATTGCCCAGAATCATACTGGCCAGAATCTTACTGGTGGCAAGTACCCAAGTGTAAGCAAACATCAACAGGATTACAGGCACTATTTTGTAAAGCTTCAGAGAAAGTAAATTCAGTACAAAACAATGTTCAGCTGGGACTGTGGTAATGAAATTATTTGCTAAGTAAAATGGTATATGTGTTTTTAAAAGGGTCTTTGGAGGGTGTCAAGAGGCTTTTAAAAATAACTCTTTTTTTTGCTTGGGGGGTAGGGAGATGATATGACACCTCACCCCACCCCAAGATCCAGGGTTGGCACATGTAGCCCTCTGATGTCTGGAAGTTTCCCATTTCTTTGCATCAAAGTGACCATTAAGTTTGGTTTGAACTGAAGTAAATCTTGTTGATCATTAGCAGTATCAGAAAATACCCTGATTATGTGTGTTCAGGTCCATTCATTAAAATATATATTTGGCTAAAAACTCAATTTCATTTTTAAAGTGCAATGATGTCAGTAGCCAAGTATTTCTTACAATTAACCTTATTAATGAATAATAATAAGGAGGAAATCATAGCTATTTCCAATATTATTATTATTTGTCTCTCCAGGGAAGCGATCAGCCTTGTTTGTGAAGCTGTGCTGGAAGCCAAAGGAACCTTTAAAAAAAGAAAGGTATCTGTCTTGCTTTCTTAAGAACATAAGAAGAGTTACGTTGGATTTGACTTGTTGTTGTTTAGTCGTTAGTCATGTCTGACTCTTCGTGACTTCATGGACCAGAGCACGCCAGGCCCCCCTGTCGTCCACTGCCTCCTGGAGTTTTGTCAAATTCATGTTGGTTGCTGTCCAATCATCTCGTCCTCTGTCATCCCCTTCTCCTCTTGCCTTCACACTTTGCCAACATCAGGGTCTTTTCCAGGGAGTCTTCTCTTCTCATGAGATGGCCAAAGTATTGGAGCCTCAGCTTCAGGATCTGTCCTTCCATTGAGCACTCAGGGTTGATTTCAGGGTTGGATTGGACTAGAGGTTGTCTAATTAGAGGTATACAGACTAATTAATTTACTAAAGGATTTGTTTCAGTTATGACTAGCATCCTTTCATATCCTTGTCTATCTTCCATTAATGTGGCTATCCTCTTAAAGCCATATAAGGTAATTATCCTCATTACTTTCTGCATTCTGCGTTAGCAAATTGCACTAATTATGCTATAGCCTCTGCTGGCAGAACAAAAAGCAACAAATGTATACAAGAAAAGACTAGATTCACTTTGATGAGTTATATGCTGTGTAGTCAATGGAAAATAAATTAATGCAGTAATTTTTCCTCAGAAGAGAGTTGATTCAGTCCCTTTATCATGTTGCTTATGTTTTTGGCTCCTTTTCCACCACTGTGGTATCTTTCTAAGGTGAATTGATCAGAAACATACACATCTCAACAAGAAATACAAAACAAATTGAAAGCAAAAAAGTTGTTGGCACTTTAAAGCCTAACTGCTGTATTTTAATGGAAGCTGTCATGGAACACCATCCACTTCTTCAGACATATGAACCTTGTGGGAAGTCTCTATTCTTATTCATATGTCTAAAGAAGTGGATGATATTCCATGAAAGCTTATATTAAAATATAGCAGCTAGACTTTAGCGTGCTTTTGTTCTGTGGTTCTTATTGAAATGTTTGCACAGACTAACACAACTACAACTGCGAAAACTAGAACTGCACACAGTATTCCAAGTGCAATAGCCCCAATGGTGTGTGTAAGGGAATCTTACTTCTTCTCTCCCCACCCTCTTTGCTAATGGTATTCAACATGGAATTTGCCTTTTTCATACCCATCCATCCATCCATCCATTAGGTCAATGTTTTTACTGAGGTATTTATCACAATTCCAAAATCTACGTATATACATACATATATATTTAGTGTTATTTGCCATTTTATTGCTGATTCATCCATTTTTCCATTTAACGTAACCATATTAATTATATATCAGATCAGGTCCAAACCAGATGCAGTGTTAAGCACAAGTAAGCATTCCATATCTATGATTTTTGTTCTTTTAGTAACCATGAGGAGAAAAGAATATTGACTATGGAGAATGAAATTAATCGCTTTGCCTACGTGCCACAGTCCTCCTGTCAAAAGCAAGGTCTCCCAAGCTCGCTGTCAGACCTAGGAGGAAAGCTTCTAAAGATGTGTTTTAGCTGAGACCATGGCACACAGGAAAGAGTTAAAGCCAATCTCATAAATAACACTACAGCAGTCTGCAAAAGTTTTTACTAGCCTGTTGTTTAAGAAAATACAGTGGTGCCTCGCTTTACGAGCGCCTCGTATAGCGATGAATTCGCATAGCGATCCCTTTTCCGGGATCGCTAATGTGAAGGCATCGCGTTGGCCCCTATGGCCGAAATTTGCATAGTGAAGATCGGTAAGCGTTTTGCTTACTGACCTTCGCTTTGCGACCCGCGGATCAGCTGTTCGTCGGGTCCAAAATGGCCACCGGAACAGCCGAAATGGCCGCGGGCAGCGTGGCTGTTCCGGCGGCCATTGTCGACCCGCGGAACAGCTGATCCGCGGTGTCGCTACGGCCGAAATGGCCGCGCACAGCATTTTCGCACCCTCCCCTCGCTTACCGAGGGTGCGAAAATGGCTGCCGGACCCAGAAAACATTGCTGTACGGTGAGTTTTTGACCATTTGGAACGCATTAAACGATGTTTAAGGTGTTCCAATGGATTTTTTTGATCCGTACAGCGATGTTTTCACATAGCGAAGGTTAATCCGGAATGGATTAACCTCGCTATGCTAGGCACCACTGTATTCACATTCCGTGGATTGTGTGTGACCTGGTATGAACTTCAGGGCTGGTGTAAACCCTTGTGGTGAGTGAGGTAGAAAAACTAACTAGTGCTCCCTGCTCATTCAGACACCACCACTATCAATATTTCAAGGTTCAAGAAATTTGTCACACTTTAATGGTACCCTATATCTGCCATCTGAGATAGCTTTTCTCTCTGCTTGATGATAATGTTGGTTCTGGATAGTTCACATGGAGTGATCCTCTCTGCCCTGTTGTAAGAAGAAGATTTGATTAGTCTCAGAGTAAGACTTCTCCCTACAAAAGGAGGGGAAGGCCCTCACAGATGCAATTGTGCAACCACAATGTGTCCTGGCATCTCATCACTAACCCAGTTAGCTACAGCAAGGCTTGTAAACCTTACCTGAAGATTACTTATTTCCATTAAGCAAGAAATTATAAAATCAATGCAAATTGGTAACACTATTGGAAATAGTGTTAGCAGTGAATCACAATGCAAAGTGCACATCATTTGATCCTTCACAGGCATTCAAAAACAAAAACACAACCACCAAATTACCACCAATTACAGGAGAACATGTAATTGTCATCATCATTATCAGTGCTTAGTGGACTTATTAAAGCTACTTCAGGCTTAGAGGCAATTTTGAATCTTGGGAGCAACCATTAATCATTCAGTAAGTGTTTGTATGGATCAGCTCACTACTCAACTCTCTTTGTGTCAGCACAAGTAACAGAAGGAGTTTTGGCCTCAAATGTTGCATTTTATCCTGTGTAATACTTTTTCTTCCCCTCAAATTAACATTTGACTCTCACTAGCCAGATAAAAGCATTTGCACACTCTTGATTAAAATGTCACGGTCTTGACTACTGAATCTCAGAGGCTTCAATTTATTCCACATGGAGTGATATCACATGCCAATGTTGTAGTGATACTTATTGGTGGGTGATTTTTATTTTATTTATTTATTTTTGCCATTGCAGGCACCAAGTAAAGTTCTTTCCAGTATTCTAGGGAAGAGCAACCTTCAGTTTGCAGGAATGGACATAACTCTGAATATATCTACCACCAGCTTAAATCTGATCACACCCGATTCCAAACAGGTCAGTACATTCTCATCCCATCCTGTTCTTATTACACTTCCATGATGCTGCTTTCCACCTGCCAAGTTATGCCTGTTTCTAATGATTATTTTATTCTGTAAACAATTACATCCAAGGAGTCTGATTCAAATCAGTAAAACTATGTGTACACTAGTATATCTGAAGGACTGACTTTTATAGTATGAGCCTGCCAATTCACTGAGATAGCCTCCTGAGCTTCTTTCTCCCTCTTCTGTGCCATGTGCTCTCATCATAGGGGTAAGGGAGCAGGTCTGCTTTGGTTGTGGCATCAACAATTGAATGGGCTTTTTAGAAAAGTGTCCTGGGCACCTCCTAGTTTATATAAGAGCCTCGTGGTGCAGTGGTTAAAACGCTGTACTGCAGCTAAAACTGTGCTCACGACCTGGGGTTCAAATCCCAGGTAGGCGGCTCAAGGTTGACTCAGCCTTCCATCCTTCCGAGGTCGGTAAAATGAGTACCCAGCTTGCTGGGGGGGCAATGTGTAGCCTGTATAATTAAACTGTAAACCGCCCAGAGAGTGCTTGTAGCGCTATGGGGCGGTATATAAGTCATAAGGCGGTATATATAAGCAATGCAAAATTATAATAATATTAAATCCCACAACGCTTAATAACTTTATTGTTCTCCAGTGCATAGTACAACTGCTATATTTAGTTTGTTCAAATATGATGTTGAGGAGCTGGCATCTGCAATGTACTGTCAGTGAAGATTCAGGTTGATATAATTGCTTTTCTGTTTGGGGGTTCTGATTTTGTTGCACATAATGTACATACTCAAGAACACAGTTACAAAAGAGAAGGAAGCTATACTGTATGTAACATTCACTTTCATCTTTTCTGAATTGATCACAGATCATAGCAAATCATCATATGCAGTCCATTTCTTTTGCATCAGGAGTAGATGTGGTAAGTATCTCTTAAAAAACCTTTGTAGTTATAGAAGTGGTAGCCATTTTAGTCTCTGCAAGCATTATAGGTAAAAGCAAAACAGAAATAAAATGTAAAAAAAAAAGACAAAAATGTGGTGGCACCTTAAAGACAAACATTTCTATTTTTCAATGTGAGCTTTCTAAGCAAACTTCAATCCAAACTAGAGGTGGGGGTATTCGTATTAGTCTATGAAAACAAATATCTTCCCACAGGTGGAGATAATGAGGGTCCGCCCCCCTGGGGCCAGACCGACCACTCACTGTTCCCACACTGCTGTGGGCTCTGCACTCCCTTCTTATCGCTCTGGAGCTTGCGGTGGATTAGCCACTCCTGGCAGGAGGCGGGATGACGAGCGTCTCTGCCAGGTTGAAGAGAGGCTCACAGTTTGGGTACTCCGGAGTGATAGGAAGGGAGCGCGGAGCCTGAGGCAACGGCAGAACGGAGAGTGGTCGGTCTGACCTATTTTGTTTTTAAAAGAAGATTTTTTTTCTAAAAACTGGAGTGATTGTCCAGTTATTTCTGTGTTTCTGAGAGGGGCTGGTATGCCCTAAGGTGGGACAACAGCCCCTGGAGGCTCTGAAGTCTCTCACAGCGTGACTACAGAGCAAGGAAAATGCAGATTCACTTGCTCTGACATTGTACTGAGGAAGATGGGGAAAGCCCTGTTATTGATACGCTCTTGAAGCTCACATAGGTGGTAGAGTACATAGGAGCTGCCTTAAGAAGAGTTTCCTTCCTCAGTTACTCATTTCCTTATCTTATCTTTAAAATGAAACTTGCCCATGGAAAGAAGCTTCATTAAACTGTAAAAAAAGTTTTGATAGAGAGGTTTTGCTAGAGAGAGAGAGAGAGAGAGTGCTGGCCTCTGTGTGTGTATATATGGATGGCTTGTCCTCCGTCCTGAAGCAAGAGGAAGGGGGAAGGTGGTTTGGCAAAGCACCACTTGTGTGTGTGTGTATATATGCCCATGTTTGTGCACATGGTTCGTCCTCGGTCTACATCAGTTTAATTACATTTCAGAACTGATGCAAATGGATCTGATTTTTGAAAAAGTAGAAGCCCCAAAGGTGGAGTGGAGAAAATATGGATTTGGGAATGTGGACTCTGAACTGATTCACATTTTCCTTTGTGTCATATATATGATCAACAGTAAAAAAGAGAGAGGAAATCAGGCCATCCCAAATCCATTGTCTTTCCTGCATTTTTTATCAATACAGTTGCCCCTTCACTCGTGCTATAAGGGGATATACTTGTGTTGCTTAGGAAATACGGGTAGCTAAACTTTTGCCATTACATTCTATGGGAGATTAAAAACAAAGCATCCTTTTTTCCAGTTCATTGTGAACAATCATATGTCATATGAAAGTACTCCAATGTTAAACAAGTTAAACAATGTCAAACCAATGTTTTCTAATGAATGAGAGTAGAAGACTCCAGATTGTCCATGGTACCGTAGTATGAATATTAACTGATATGTGGCATATCTTGCAATTGAAAAATGTCTTCTGGGGAGCAGAGGAGAGGCTCAGTTCAAAGAATTATAGTACTAAAAAAATCATAGGGGTAGATCCAGTTCCAATCATTGCTAAAGGAGATCCATTTGAAATCAGTGGGAATTATATCTGTGTTGACTAAAAAAATCCTGTTAATTTCAAGGGGTCTACTTTGGTTAGAATTAAAACTGGATGTCGTCCATGGCTGTAAGTCCTGAGAATTTATGCTAAAGAAAACGTGTTAGTTTTTAAGATGTCACAAGACTCTTTGTTTTCTTTCTGTAGTAATCCAAGCACTGAGCCACATCTTCCCCAGAAATTTCAACACCTGATAACTTTCAGCTGAATATTTGAAATTTCCTCTTTTAAAAGATTTGCATGAGTTAATGTTCAGTGATGAGTAGGTTCCAAACTTAGTGATTTGTCAGTGATGGTTCATTCACACATTTGTACATAGTGCTCATTGACTGCATCATCTAGCAATGAACTGAACGTTTCATTCTCACATGTGTGAAACATGCTCACATATTATCTTTTGTTACCCTTGCCTTTCCCTCCTCTTCCTTTCCATTTTTCTCACTCTCTTGTATAAATCTGGGTTGTACACTCTTTAAGAGTAAGACCTTGTCATTTATTTACAGTATTTATATACTGACCAAAGCCTGCTTTTATTCCAAAACCAAACCCACAACATGTGAAACATGCATGGAAACATAGCTGCCTGGTTATGCCTTCCACCTACGTTAGAAAGAAACAGGATTTCACCCAACGGGTGTAACCAAACTTTTAGAATTAGCAGTCTAGGACAGAAGTAGAATCAGGAGAATACTTCAAGAAATAAAGTAATCTGGAAAATGCATCCCTCCCAAGCCTTAAACATTTTTTCGTTGAAACGTTTTTCACCTATTTGCTCTGTTTTAGATTGTTTTGTAAATGTTGTTCGAGATTGTACTGAAGATGGTATAGAATGGGAATACAGAAACTCATGCTCAGGAACCAAACCCAGCTTTCCTGAGGTCCTAGTCTACCCTGCAAGGGCTCCTAGAAAGACATGTTGTTTTTCTGGTGACACCATTATTTGCTGGATTTCCAAGTTTTGTACAGTTCTAAAAGGCTGGGCTGTCTCTCCTATAGCTTAATCACCAGCAGTATGAGTGGTGGCGCTTATGTAACCAGGCAGCTATGTTTCCATGCATGTTTCACATGTTGTGAGTTTGGTTTTGGAAGAAAAGCAGGTTTTGGTCATATATATACGGTTCTACACCCACACATTTACAAACATAACTAGGTAGCTGTGGGTTTTTTTTGCATATTGGACTATATAAAGTGTCATGTACCGTGTTATATCATGCTGCTGATCACAGCAATGACAACAGAAACAAAGCAGATGCTGAATAATAAAACTAATCATGCTGCACTATGATTATTTGAAAACCAAGGACTGACAAATCAGTTGGACATAGAGTGGATTAAAATCGATATTTTTTTAAAAAAAATAAATCAACTTTTTAAATTTAGATGGAATGTTTATTATTTAAATCAAATTTATTTTATGAAATGCTTTCAGAGGAAAAATCTATCTGAAGATAGTTTTCTCTTTAAGATTATTCAGCATGAAATAGAACTTAGTTATGTAGCATGAAGCTGTATATTCATGCAATACAGTAGTTACATTTTTGGTAAACTGATTCAATTCATCCAAGTTATACAAGCAGAGATAACATGTACTTTTTCACAGTTAAAATGGTATAAAATGAACAAAGCTCAGGAGAAGACCTTAATCCAATTGTTGTTTTGCAAATGAACACAAATGAATACAAGCAATGAACACATTGATATTTAAGCAAATATAACAATATGTATGCTATGCAACAGGGGTCCCCAGCCCCCGGTCCTGGCCCGGTGCCAGTCCATGTACTTGGCAGGACTGGACCGTGGAGACAGATCTCCTGCCCCCCTGCACGCACTCCCCCGACACATGCCCACCCGCACGCACAGCCCATCCACTTGCATGCACAGGTGCCCTGCCCACCCTTGCAAGCATACCCCGCCCACCCGCAAGCACACCCCACCCATCCAAAGTGCACCCCATCCACCCATGAGTGCAGGGAGTGCCCTACCCCTCCCACGCATGGATCCCACACCTCCAACCGGTCCGCCCCCCCCCACGCATGGATCCCACCCCTCCAACTGGCCCGCGGTTCAGAAAAGTTTGGGGACCACTGCTATACAATGTTAAATAAAACAAACGTGAGTGATTAACCCATTAAACTAAAAACTGTTCTGATATAGCAGTTTACTAATCGTGACAATTATTATTCTAAATATGACCCATTAAACTAAAATCTGTTCTGATATAGCGGTTTACTAATCGTGACAGATTATTATTCTAAAAATACATCTTCATCGGGTTGCAAATATTAAAGATTATAACTACCAGTAAGAATGAGTCTTTACATTTAAAAAATAATGATTTCAAGTCTTACTAATAAGTGATTGAAATCATGATTTTAAATGACTTGATTGGACAGATCTTAGTAGACAAGTTATTAGAAAATCATTGGCAAGATGAGATAAACTCAATTGAGGAATTGAGGGAGTAGGAATGTGCCTACGCTACATTGTTATGCCAGATATAAGGCATATTTAAAGAGTTGGACTTATTTCTGACTAAGCGAGCACAGAATTGAGCTGCAGAAAGGGACAAGAATTAAAAATCCTTTTAAATGTGAGAATTAGAATTAGTTCTACTTCCAAAACCTCCATTCAATAAATAGTTTGAAGAGCAGCACTATTTTGTGTTATTTTGTTCTTTGAATCAATTTTCTTGTGCTTAGTACTTGCTCTAATACTTCCCAGGGCTGCACATCTGAGAGTTTTGGGCAACCTGCTCGATCAATTTGCCTACTCTAAAATCAAAACAGTTTGCTTGATATTATCACACACTTGCAACCATGGTAATCTGAGCACAGACAAGCAGTTACAAACACTTGAATGAAAATCAGTGCACCTTTGTTTCAGAATAAAAAGACAACTTACAATATCCATGATATTCTTTCCTTTTCTTCTCCTTTTCCCTGAAAACAGGATACAACAGACTATGTTGCATATGTAGCTAAGGACCCTGTTAACCGTAGAGGTAAAGTACTGCATAACATTCAATCTATCGTTTCTTTTGGAACTGTAAGCTATTCATATTCTTCTTAAGGTATTCTATTTATAGTGGCTTTATGCAGATATCTACTTACCATGCACCAAATACATGGTCTGTTCTGTAATTTGTTACATGCATATCCCACCCTAAAAGATATCTATAAAAATAAAATGTCCCAGTTGTTTGAGGATTTGAGCCTTTTCTGCATAGAAATGTATCCAGAAAGCTGAGAAACTACAGTATTCAAACAATACATATAACCTCATTCTAAACTCATGCTATCTAGGCAAACCTTGCAGCATTTAACTTTACAAAATGCCTCATAGTTAGGATTTTAGATGGTAAAGTCTCCATAATTCTCAGTTATCAGTGACTGCCCTTGTGATGGATTCAGGAAGCACTGAAGGCTTGTACTGAGTGTTGGTTAGATCATGAAGGTAAACACTGGCTCTTGGTTGGAACAACAACCTCGGCACAATGCAAGTGTTTAATAGCTATAGTCCCTGCACAAGCACAAGTGAATGACGTTCGAAGCCTGCCATGTGACAAGAAGACATCTTGCCAACCCCTGCACCATGCAGCATCTCTTGATAAAGGAATGAACTCCTTCTCCTGGTAATGCTTCTGACTACCAGTCCCTATCAAAACACATCAGCCACTTACTGACAGGCGGAATTTATGGCCCTTGAAGTATGTAGCTCTAGAGAAAAATAATAAAGACAATGGTTTGCATACCTGTTATTATTTGGAAAACTGCTTTGAGTATTTTTCATCTTCAGAGGCACATGTCCTTTGTTTTCTGACACACACGCTGACTCCAAACCATACGAAGGGAAAGTTGCCTTTGTGGACCACGGTTTCCAGAATATCTTGTGATATTTTGGGAGCTGTAGTCTAAAAAAGTAAAAATGACCCATCTGTGTTGTGAAGCAGAAGTCTCCATTGTTGATGCATACTTTACAAGCCAACCACATAAGGTGTATGTAGATACTGAGGACAAAAAGGGGTTTCACAATTGTAATAATATTACAGATATTACATATTAGGGACAATATTTAGGAATACTCTGCGGTCTTCCTAAGCAGAATCATTTATGCATGTTTTCCTACAAAAAGTATACTGCCTTCATAACTGAACAAAGCTCTGCTTAAATAAAAATCTAATTAACGGTACATAATTATTATGAAGCTTTGTAAAGAATAAAAGTAAAGTGTGGAAATTATTTCTTCAGGAACTGATACTCGAATTCTGTTGTTATTTTCCTGCCACTTCAGCATGTCACATCCTGGAATGCTGTGATGGCCTAGCCCAAGATATTATCAGCACGATAGGGCAAGCCTTTGAACTTCGTTTTAAGCAATATTTGCAGTGCCCCTCTAAAATTCCTGCTCTTCACGATAGGTGAGTAGTACAACAGGATTTTAATTATGTTTAGAATGGTATTGCCTTCAGAAATCAGTCAAATGAAGTAGGGATAGGTTTCTCATGCAAAAGAAGAACTGTTTCATTTATTTAACACGGATTTCAGTAACATCTATCCAAGTCAAAAAAATAATGTCCCAAAAGGACTAGATTCATTTGTTGAGTAGAAAAAACAGCTACTACTATTGTGACTGTGGTTAATTAAAAAGACATTACTACCAGTGACTGTCATTTTACTCTTCAATTGTTGGCCCAATTCAAGTACCCCCTCAATATTTTGGATCATGCCACTTAACAAAATTCTGCCATTGACCAAACAAAGTACAGTAACTTATTTTGTTAATGGACCAGATTGATAAACAAGAATTAAAACCAAGAAGCAAAATAACAGAGCTCCTTTCTGGCAGGATGCAAAGTTTAGATGAACTTTGGATGGAAGAAGATGTGGAGCCAGCAGAACATCCCTATTACAACAGCATTCCAAACAAAATACCTCCCATTGGGGGTCTGGTTGATGCAAGACTTAAAGCCAAGGTTCCTGCTACAGATTCTGCTCAGGTAGGTAAATCAGCCCATGCTTGATTCCACTAGTTGTTATTTTAATGGATTGGCAACAGCTATATACACTATTAAATAAACGTAGATGGTGGGAAAGAATCTTGATAATTCCTCTTGGTTCCTCTGAGGACAAAGTTATGATGCACCAGCTCAAGAGGGAATTCCATAGGGTGGAGGCTACCACTAAGAAGGCTCTATTACTAATGTCCACCAGCTGTACTTGTCTTAGTGGCTAGTCTGTAAGTAGAACCTTAGGTAGAGATAAGTTCATGTGAATGTGAAGACACCAAAACTGTTTAGGGTTTTAAAGGTCAAACTGTGCAATCTGAAAAATATGTTTCTGCTGATAACAAAGTACTTTCTTTTGTTGGCTGGTTTAACAGATTTGCCACTCGAGGAATCTGCCAGTTATGCTGCCTAAGATCTGCTAACAGAAGGGCTAAAAAAGAGAGGCACATGGAGAGAGGAACTGAGTTACACCGAATCCAAACCTCTGGTAGCCCAGAGGCACAGGAACAATGTCTGCAGAAAGTTAGGCCAGGGTAGTCCAAAGCAATTTCCAGCACCCTGAGATTTTGAGGGGTTTGGAGGTGGAGAAACTTTACCTGGCCTATGCTTGGCTCAGTTGGCTCTTGACATCTTGTCCGGATGGAATGGCACTCAAAACCAGCATGTTGAATTGAGCCTGGAAATACGCTGGCAAGCAGCACAGCTCTTATAGAAACTGTGCATATTATCCAGCTGTCTAGTCATTCAGCACCATTTGAATTTTCCAACTTATTTTCAGAAACAACTCTGTGTAAACATGTTATAGTACTATCGTTGGGTGTAACTAGGACTTAATACATTTATGAACAATCTCCTACCACAATACAGAAAGTTCTTCCCGTTGGACTCTACACAGCATTTAATTATGTCCCAGTTTGGATTATATGTCCAGCATCATTCTCCCTTAAATGATGGGGAATGAAATTGATCTTCTACAGCATATTGAGCTAATATGTCCTGACCCATCCCGAAAGACATTGGACATCTGCATATCAGCATAAGATCTGCATAGTGTGCCAACTGACAACAGAGAGAATTGCTCTATTTTTTTAAGTCTCCAGATGGTGAGACAAATCATAGGGTCAGTGGCATTGGAGGCGGAGTTAGCTTTATTTTTGGGAGTAAGGCAGGTTTTAAGGATGGGCAAAAGGGTGGGCAAAATGGGGTCCTTCAGTGGCTTGTACCCCTATTTTTAATTTTTAAAAAATGCTCAAAATTCCCCATGTTGCCCTTTCAAGGCATGCTTCACCATGTTTTAGATTCTCTTTTGCTGCCTTTTTATGTTGATGAGAGAGCTATTTTTAAAAAAACGAAACTAAACTAAACAAAAAAACAGAAGTTGTTTAGAACAGCTGGGAAACAGCAAAAGAAAAGAAAAGAGTGGAATTGCTTCCTATGACACCTAGATGCTGCGACGGACCTTTTTCAGTTTTTTAAAAAATATGCACATATATTTGAGTTTGGTAGCAGGTGCAGACCTTGAAGTTCTAGGGAAGTGTTGTGGGCAGCCCTTGAAATTCTGAATTTTTGTCATCCCTGCTTAAATTCTTAACACTTGTCTCTACCCATTCCCAGTTAGCATAATGACATATTGCCCCAACACAATGTGTTTATTTGTGTGTTGCTCCCAAAGATGTAATGGGCGCAAGTGCATGCACCCTTTGGCTTTCTCCCTAGTCCCCTCCCTTTGTTCCTGAGTTTTTAGTGCAGAAACATTAGGTTCCATCATGCCCTTTGGAGCAAGGCAGGGAGGGAAGCACCAGTGTTGAGACTCATAAGGCTTTTTGTTGCCTGACAGCAATGATGTAAAGCCTAAAGAGGAGGAGGGGCTCCCTCTCCCAATCTTGCAAGCCTGTATATCATATCCAAGTCATGTAGACTTGAACAGGAGGATTCTGGGTCCGAAAAGGACTTGTGTAAACTTAAACCATTTAGAATGAAATAAACTGGAACCTCACTGATGACATCAGCATTTAGTGGCTCCTCTCGCATCAAAGCTTCCGACAACAGTTGGCCTTAATGTGTGCTAGAAATACTGCTGTCCAACCAAATTGTACACTGCAAATAAGCCATCAGTAAAAATTGAAATCATAACAATGTTCCAAGATGTGCTTTAGACAGACCTTTGTGCATAAAAAACCAACTTGCAAAAGAAGCCCTTGTTTAGCTTCCAGTAACCACTCACAAAATGAAGCAAGCTAATGTGTAAACTGCTGTATATCATATGAGAAAAACTCTTGCTGTAACAATCAGATATTTTAGCAGCTAAAGAATTCCCATTTCTAATGATGTATTACATATACCCCGTGGTTCAGCCCTTAGGGAGTACAAACATTTACAAAGCTACCATGACGTATATTATTCTCTGTTAGTAAAGTATAGAAATAAAGATGATAAATTCTGGTTATGCTAACCTTAAGTTGTACAGGGGTAGATGAGAATGTTCTGGCATTTCCCACAGCCTTCAAATTAGAGACGAAATTCACTGAGTGGGACCAGTCTACCCTTCTGTATCCAACAGGCCCGGTGCTTTGTGAAAGCTTATTAAGAAGAAGTTAAACGTGTAAGAGGTCCCTGTCCATCTAGTTCAGCATCCTGATTCCCACTGTAGCAAACCAGATACTCTTGGGAAGTCTTCAAGCAAAATGTGAACCCAGCCTTGGTATTCAGAGGTATATCGCCTCTGAATCTGGAACTAATTAGTAGTCAAGAAAGTCTTTAAAGTAGCCTTTAAAGGCATCTATGATTCTAGTGACTCACCACTATATCTGGAAGCAGCCATTCCATAAATTAATTATTGTGTGGAGACACACTTCCTTCAGTCTCTCCTGAATCTTCAGTCAATCTTTTTAATGGGATGACCTTGGGCTCTGGTGTCATAAAGAACAGAGAAATGCTTTCTCCAAACCAGTCATAAACTTCTCATGTGGCTCCACGCATCACTTTTTTCCAAGCTCAAAAGCATTGACAGGCAATGCGGTACTTTTTTGTAGAGAACATGCTCAGCCTCCTGATAATTTTGACTGCCACCTCTTCATCTCTTCCAGCTCTTCAATATCCTTTTTGAAAAGGGATCATCAGCCACCATCAGTTTGTGGGGGAGTATTATGATACTGGTAGTTTAATTCTTGAATACTTCTCTAATAATTGTTCGCATGGAACTTGCCTTGTTCACAGCTGCTACATATATATTAACATTTCCATCTATCTATCACAATGATCCCAAGATCTCTTTTTTAGTTAGTCACTTCACTTCTATCATATCTGATGTCAGAAGGTGATTTTGACTCCACAGTGCTTGGTTGGTTTAAAGTAATATGAGTACAGTTTCTAAGTTTATTTTACTAGTTTATTTTATGCATGTATAACTGAAATAAATGTATGCAACTGTATCTCACATTGATTGCCCTCTTAATTATTATTTATATAATATTGCACTAACAGGTCAGATAAACTTACTTAAAAGTAGAGGGGCTAGAAAGTGTACTGTATTTCTTGTTATAGCACTTTGTGTCTACATTCATGTGAGATTAATCAGAGTAATCAATTTCAGTAAAGATTTGTAAATCTGGCATTAGTTATTATATGTAATTCAGAATTTTTAAGAAGATACTTGGTTCATGGTGCAGCATTCTTTTCTTTTTCTCTTTTTAGTTTTTGAAGTGTTTGATTAGAATTATTTGGCTGCCAGATTTGTTCCATGAAAGGATGATTGAGGTGACGGAGTTCCTTTTATAGATGTAATATACCTGCTTTGTCATTTAGAATTACAGGGGTTAATAAAACAGGAAAGGAATGCAATTTCCCTGAAGGTCATCATTGCTCCCATCCTCCTACGCAAACTCATTCATAAAAGAATGTTCAGTCATATTTTCATACATGATGAATGAACGAAGACTGGGTTTGGGTAGAATTGCATCTGGATCACTCATTAAAAAGATCTACTGAAAATGCATTACAGTTTTTAAAGATAGAGTTTGCATGAAGAATATTTTTACTACCACCTTAGTCTGCATCAGCAACGGGAAGAGATCAAACATACTACCAGAGCCAGCTCATCAGAGACCTATTTAAGGAAGACTGGCAAGAAGGACCCAGTCGACAAGGTAAGCTACACTTTGAAATAATTACCTTTTTCTATGAACTCTTTCTAGAATTGCAGATGGACTCATTCATTAGAAGCAAAGCGCCCTAAAGTAGCAAAAGATATCTGATTGCCTTGACTCCAGTGTGTTGCAAATTAACTTCCCTTTGTTTCATGAGTGGCCATTGGGAGATGAACACAGGTTTCATTTGCAGTTGTGATTGTGGAGGCATAGCACTTTGAAGGAACTGTGTGCCTGGAAGGAAATATAATAGGAGGAAGTACACATTCTCTTTAATGTGTAATATGACTCATAACCTAATGGAACTAAATCCCCTGGCTTTGTTTTTTTCTTCTACTAATGCATCAGCAGAAGGCTTTAAGTTGAGAGGAAGACGGTAGAGAAGAATGCTTTAAGATCATATTAGATCTGAGAAACTACTAAAACTGATTTAAAAGTAAACAAAGAAAAAATCAAACAAACAAAACAGAAATAAGTTTCATATTGCATATGGAGAGCATGCCCTAAGATGGAATCATTTTTTCTTCTTATTTTCTGTTATGTATTTATAAACATGCCATTCCATCAGTCCTTTGAGAATAACAAAATAATTAGAATCAATTCATCCCTTCTTGAATCAATAAAAGTTGGTGTAGACCAATCAAACAGTGGATACATTCTCCATGAAATAAGGAAATGGCTATAGTCAAATCACACATCAAGAACAGTGTGTATTTCCTGCTAATATCCCATTTTCCTTCTAGGTACACAGTTTGAAGACTTGTGTACCTTATAGAGAGTGAGTAATGCTTGATGTTCAATCTGGATTCCGAAAAAGAAGAGACACTTGTGATCATATTGCAAATGTCCGCTCACCATTGGAGCACAGCGAAGAATCCCAGAAGGAAATCACTCTATAGACTCCAGCAAAGCCATTGACTGTGTGGACCATAAGAAACTATGGGTTGTTCTGAGAGAAATGGGTGTGCCTCAGCACTTGATTATCTTGATCTGTAACCTGTATTGTGAAGAAGAAGCTACCATTGGTTTCCTCTAGGCAAAGGTGTTGGGAAAAGTTGCATTTTATTCCCTTATTTGTTCAATCTCTATGTAGAACATATCATATGGAAAGCTGGACTAGATTCAAATGAAGGAAGAGTGAAAACTGTTGGAAAATCAATAATTTAAGATATGCAGATGAACCCATCTTACTGGCAGAAAGCAGCAATGATTTGAAATGGCATTTAGTGAAAATGAAAGAAGAAAATGCCAGAGCAGGACTGCAGTTGACTATTAAGAAGACAGAAATCATGATGACAGAAAAGCTACAACTTCAAGGCTGCCAATAAATAAATTGAAATAATGAAGGTCGGTGTATACCTTAGTTCAATCATCAATCCAAATGGAAACTGTAACCAAGAAATTGGAAGAAGACTAAAACAAAAGAGCAGCATTGGAGGAAATAGAAAAAATAATCAAGTGTAAGGATCTGTCACTGGAAATCAAGATCAAATTCATCCGCACTTTTGTATTCCTGATCACCCTATATAGGTGTGAAAGCTGGACAGTAAGGTAAGCTGATAGGGGAAAAAATATTCATTTAAAATGTAATGCTGGAGGAGATATTTGCAGATACCTTGGCCTTCCAGAAAGGCAAACAAGTGAGTCCTCAATCAAATCAAGCCCAAACTGTGTCTGGAGGCAAAAATGATAAAACTGAGGCTGTCCGACTTTGAGCATATCATGAGAAGGTAGGAGTCTCTGGAAAACACAATAATGCTTGGAAAGGTGGAAAGCAGCAGGAAAAGAGGAAGACCAAGTCCAAGAAGGATTGACTCCCTAAAGGAAGCCACAGACTTGAGTTTGCAAGAGTTGAGCAGGGCTGTTGAGGACTGGGCATTTTGAAGATTGCTCTTTCATAGGGTTGCCATAAGTCAGATGTGACTTAATGGCATGTAACAACAACAACAATAATAATAACAACAACAAATAGTTTGGTTCAATCATCAATCCAAATGGAAACTGCTGCCAAGAAATCAGAAGAAGCCAAACATCCCCCCCCCAAAAAAATTAAATGGGGGAGGAAATGCCAGATCGCTCCAGGAGGCTGAACTTCTGGGGGAGGTCGCACTGTGCCTCTCAGATGTGGAGGCTGGGTAGTCACCCAGTCCCCAGGAACACTACAGGATAAAGGCATGACTAAGGCTTGAAGTCTGCAGACAAACTGTTCAGCTGCAGGGAAATACTTGTAAGAAGTGGCCTCCTAAAGTGTAGATAGTGTACTTAAGGGAAAGCTCTTCCTCCCTGTTAAGAGTAGCAGACCAAATCCTGCAAGCTGAGCTCTAGATGGGGCTTCAGCAGCTCGATTATATTGTCCTCAGGCTTTGACTGGCAGTTTTGGTGGAGAAAACATCTTTACTGGCTCCTGGTCTTGCCTTCTGTGTCTCTTGACCCTTGCTGCTGACTCCCTGACTGTATAAGATACTTTGAACTACTTCTTATAGTCTCTTTGTTTTGGTGCCTAATAGACCTGCTTGACTTTGTATTCTCTTGAACCCTGGCTTCAGATCTCCCACCTGATTAAGAACATAAGAAGAGCCCTGCTGGATCAGGCCAAGGGCTCATCTAGTCCAGCTTCCTGTATCTCACGGTGGCTCCACCAGATGCCAGTAGGCCTCTGTTTGTTAGTCCCCTTTGTTAGCTTGTCAGCCTGATTGTGGGGAAGGGGTGTCTAGTGCATCTTTGCTGGAGGACTTGTCCAGTGTGACAGTTTTTCAGGCCAAGATCCCAGATACAAAGTGTGTCGTTGCCAGTTTAAAAAGAATAACAGAAGTGGCCATACTGAGCTAGGTGGACAAATGGTTGGAAGACTGCTCAAGCAGAAAATCCAAATTAGACAACTAGATAACACTGTTGTGCTAATAATGTATTCACTACATTTGATGGTAATTGTGATGGTATCAAGGAACTGAAATCTGAATACGATGTTATAGAATCTGTTTATCCCAAATGCAAAAGGTGCTTCTGTCTACTGCTGCTAAAAATTGAGGGGAGAACGGGGCACTGCTGCAATAAAATAAATTTTGAATTTTAGGATAGGACATTTTCCTATCTGTCAGGCTTATTATCTTCATCTTTCACTGAACAAGTTCCTTTTTAAAGAACATCCACTTCTGTTAGGCGAAGGTCCCAGTTAATGCATAGCATCTCCAGTTTTGAAAAAAGACAAAATGTTTTGTTTTCATCTGGAGCAGAAGTTTTTTCCACATCATGAATATTTCTCATTTAATCTATTGGTGGTGCACACCTATCTTGCAAATACTGCTATAGCATTACCTAGTCAGTTTTATTCAGCAAAAATCTGTTTCTTTTATTTCTGTCTGTTCAATTTCAGTTAGTGCTGAGGGCAGGAGGCATTAATTCCTGGTTTCCTCTTATTGTTTCTCTCATTTAGTGTCTTTGTAGCAAAATGGTGTTGTTTCACTATATAAGAACATGGAAAGAGGAAATAGTTACAGAAAATCAGTAAATTGTGTGTGAGAGAGTGAGACAGACAGAGAGATTTTAAGAATCTTTAAAAAATAATTCCTTGGAGAGAGGGGATTGGAAAGCTAGAAAATATTGGACTAACGGTGATTGAGATTCTCCCAGAGAGTACAGCAAGTGATTGTGTTGGCTACTGGATTCTGATAAAGAAAAGAAAGAAAGAAAGAAAGAAAGAAAGAAAGAAAGAAAGAAAGTCACACTTCCCATTTTTTGCATCACCCATAATAATGAACCCATTTCAGACGAAATTGCCACTGTGAAAACATCCTAAAACCACAAGATTATTTTTGACTGAATGGTGTACAGATTGGGAAACAAGACTCTTATTGATTTTTACAGGGTCTTTGGATAACTACAGCATACCAGATGTAAAGTCTAATGTTAATTCACCAGGAGAGATGCCAACTTATGTGAATACAAGATGTATAAATATGGAAACTCTACAAGCCCTTCAGGCAGAGGCGGAAAATCTGCTTAGCGGAACAACAGAACATACCAAAGATAGAAGCCCAGGAAAAGATATTTTTGACATGAGTGAGTTCCTGTTGAAAATTTTACTTGGAATTAAGTGTTTTCTTACATTTTGGAATTCAGTTATTATCAGCAGTTACTGTTAAATCATCAATTCCAAAGGAACATGGTCAATATAGTGTGAATTTTAAAATAGGGTAGAAGAGGCTGATCAGGAAAATTATAAGCTGATGAGCTTAGTGTCTGTTCTGTGTAAACTGGTGGAAAGAATTATGATGCCAAGAATGTAGAATTTCTGGAATTTCCAGCAGGATAATTCCTGTTGAAAATGAATTGGAACAGCTGCAAAGATAAATCCTCTCTCAATAACCCTTTAAAGTTCTTTGAACATTGTTTGAAAAGGATTTTCTGGGAGATATTTTTGTTGGACTTCCAAAGATTTACAGCAAAGTCTCTCACCAAAGACTGACCAAAATTAGTAGCCAAATGGGATTAGAGGTGAAGTCCTCTTCTATTTTGGTAGCATGTTAAAGAACAGAAAGCAGTCAGTAGAAATAAACAGTCAGTTCTTACAGTGGAAATTTGTAAGTGGTGGAGTTTTCTATGGATTTTTATTGGGGCTGATGTTTTTAATTTTTTGGGGTAGAACAGTGAGGCAACCAAGTGTGTTGCTGATAATAAATTGTCCAGTGTGGTTAAAACAGAAAGGCCTAAAAGCAATTTATAATCTCAATGAGAGTAGGCCCATGGAATAAGCTGGTCACTGTAGAGTCACCACTTATGTAAATCCAATTTATTCAGTGGGTATACTCTAGCTGAAATTACCCTTTGGGTTCAGGACAAAAGCATAGCAAGGGTCTTGCTGAACTGAGGGAATGGACATTGAAATGGTAAAAGAGATTCAGTGTAAAATGATGGCCACTGAGGCAAAAAAGAAAAAAGAAAAAGAAGTCAGAGGTGGTAGTGAAAGAACTTCTTAAAAAAAGATTGGATGTGGTAGATAATAAAAATGTTAGCCCTATGTGTAGCTGCTTTGAAAAACCAAAAATCCACACTGACCAAAGTGGAAAGGGAATTTTTAAAAACAGAGTTAACAATGTTATAATACCCAAGTAAAAATGTATAATGGTTTATATCTCCTGTGAGATCTAGAAGTTACAAACTACAAAAAATAAAAAAAATAAAACATTTTTCTGTTTTTGGGCAGAATCTGGAATCTTCATTCTTTCTCTGAGCATTTAGGACAGACAATGCTTAGAAAAGGTAAAAGAGAGTGATTTCATAGTTCCATTTTTGAAATCAGTTAGATTCTGGATTCCACTGAGTTACTTTTTTCCCTCTGTCTATTACTAATTCTTATCTGTTACCTGCCCTTAATATCAGGTCCCTTTGAAGATGCTCTGAAGAACCAAATGCCTAAGCCCATTTTGAACAAGGCTACCTCAGCTGAATGTACAAGTCCTGTTCTGTCTAGAGCAACTGGTGCAGCAGGAGCAGAAGAACTGAGCGCAGAGCCGTGGTATCAAGGAGAGATGACCAGGAAGGAAGCAGAGCAGCTCTTAAAGAAATGTGGAGATTTCCTGGTTAGGAAAAGCACCTCTAATCCAGGCTCCTATGTGCTGACTGGCCTGCACAATGGACAAGCCAAACATCTCCTTTTAGTGGATCCTGAAGGAACCGTAAGTATTTGACAGTAATGAGATATCTCGTATTTCAGACTGTATTAGCACAATACCCCCTTCCCACAGATCCCCCCCCCCTTGGTAATGAATGTGTCATAGCTGTTCTTGTCTTTGTGAGAGATTGTTTGGAGTGATCTGTGTAGAAACCACAAAGACTCCTGTGGCACTTTAAAGACTCCTGCATTTATTATGGTATGAACAGGGGTGGCAATGTGTGGTCTTCTAAATATTTTTGGATTACAACTCCCATCAGCCCTAGCTAGCATAGTCAGGGCTGAAGAAGGGAGTGGCAGTCCACTCTCACAACTCTGTGTGCAATGGAGATTTCTTAACTTGATTCCATTTGCCTCCAGAATTTATGTCTTCTGCAAAACAGTACAATGAGATTTCATCCAATATTCATGAGGCTTATATTCCTCATCTCTGGCCTAAGCTTTAGGAAATTTGATAGCTTTAAAGTTCTGACAGGAGCGTTGATATTACTGCAAAGGTTTGGCATATCTATCCTTCTCTTTATCAAACGACTTTTTATTTTGAGGGGAGAGGACTGTAGACTTACTATTTCTTTCTGATATTGTCCATAGCTATAAGTTATATCAATATCCTCCCTTCCCTTTGGGGAGCTCAAAGTAGCATCCATCTCTCCCTCCCCTCTTTACCCTCACAATGATCCTGTGAGGTAGGCAAGGTGAGATTGTGTGGCTGGTCCAAGACCACCCAGTGAGTTTCATGGCCAACTGACACTTGAATCTGAATCTCTGAAATCTCACTTAAACTACACTGGACGAGAGTTTGTATCATGGGATGCAGCAGGAAAACCACCATCACAACTACCAGCAGTTGCTCCATGTGCCCAGGTTCCTAATTTTCACTTCTAAGCCACTTAACCCAGTTCCCTTATTTTCAGGTAGATTTGAGCCATGCCAAATCCAGTCTATTTCTCCTACAGTGCATCAGCTTTCCAGTCTTTTCTTCTAACCCCCTTTCAATCTAAGAGTGGGTCTTACTGATCAGCTTTCCAGTCTTTTCTTCTAACCCCTTTTCAATCACAACTCTAAGAGTGGGTCTTGCTTCAGCCCACAGTAACAAGAAGAATGTTCATGAATTTTGCATGACGAAAACCTACAGTCTTTTCTTAGAGCCCATTGTCTGCTATGGCCTGTATCATCCCCACATGCTGCTTAACAGAAGGACTGCTGTAGTGAAAAGGAAGCTTTGTTAAGAGGCAACTATCTTTTTATGGGCCTGAGATTTCAATGCTGGTGCACAGCATGGTGTCTGGCATTAGATAAAAAATTAGAAGAATCCATGGATGCAGCTTGCACCTTTAACACTAGAGGACAGTGAAATATTATTTTCATAATAATATCTAACAAAAATAAAGAATTGCTGGTATTTGTGGTTGCTTGTACAGTATTTGTGATCACTTGTGTATGCTTCATGGGAAAAGAAAAAAAATCTGGTGTCTTTGAAAGGTATTATTCTCTCCCCCCTGCTGGTCAAAACAATTATAATTCTTTTGCCAAGACTTGCAAACAATATTTTAACATATTGTGTGACTCAATATGTTAAAACCTGCAACTAACCTCTTACTGTGGCTTTTTTGCTAGCCTACAAAAACACTACAGCAATATAGGTTTCAATGGTTTTGTTATGAATAACACAGGTACCTCTGTTTTATATAGTCTGAAATAATGTATTTAAAGCCCATCCTTGTACCAGTACTGAAGCTCAACTTTACTGCCCTCATGCAAAGTATTATTTATGTATTCATGTGCATATATACATATGTATATACTGTATGTATATGTACATATACATATAAAATTATGCAGCCTTAAAAACTCTCTCTCACTCTGTCTCTCGCTCTCCCTCACACACACAAGCATATCTATCTAGAAAAAAAAATCAGGCATCAGGCAGCCCTAGGGATGTACCTATATATAGTTGCAAGAGCTCCCATTAATACCCAGAAAAGCCATGTTTCAAAACTAGGTAAGTATATTTGGTCCCTTCTAGTTGTATTCTTCGGATTCTCTCCTCTCCCATTTTTGGCACTTTCCATAGAGTCCTGAGGTAGAATATTGGTCCTCAGACCTGCCAGTGTTGACCACCCACCTTAGCTTTAGACTGCAATTCCCATGATCCCTCAGGCTTCATGGCAGTTGCAGCCCAGCATCTGGAGGCCACAATTAGCCACTACTGCATTAGAGCAAGAAAATATATATTCAAACTCCTGTTAATCCATGAAGTTCACTGAAGAGTCTTGGACCAGGCAGTGACACTCTTTTAGACTAAACCTCCACCCTCAATAGGAGTACTGGAACATCATGTAGCCCAGTGCATGTGGCTGTCCTGTTACGTCTGGTTGATCTGATAGTTAAGTAGTCAGAGTTGCTCCCTGTAGTGAATAAATATCTGACTCTCTTAACCTGCACAATCTCTTTCTCAGGTTCGAACAAAGGATCGTGTATTTGACAGCATTAGCCACCTCATTAACCACCACCTTGAGAACAACTTGCCAATTGTCTCTTCTGGAAGCGAACTCTGCCTCCATCAACCAGCAGAGAAAAAGGAAGAATGACCCCTTCAGCTCCCTTCATAAGATGTCCAACTTTGATCTCTCACAAGACACGACTAGAAAGGAAGTGCAAATCTATGTCCATGAAGGAAAAGAATATCACCTATTATAGTTTCTGTAGGTTAAAGCGATGCAATTTCATGTGATACCAAGAAACAGGAAATTCATACAACTCTCTGGGGACAACAGAGTATGGTAAAAGAAACAGATGGAAGAATTTCCTTTTAAAAGGCTTTAGTTAAATGTTCTGAATCCATAATATGAATATTGACTATGTACATACACACATACATTCTTTATAAGTACAGTAGATAATATTTATATTTTTGAAGTCAGTCTGCTGAAGTTACAGAACAAAATATGTCCTATTCCATGCATTTTTAACTGAGGAAAAGATGCCAACTGTGTGTGATTAAGAATGTTAAACTATGAGCATCAGAGATTATATTTATTTCCTTGAGAATACGGATGCTGAAAATCTCAAGGATAGTTTTACCACAGTTATAAGCACAACAAAGGGGAAAAATCAATAAAAAGCAGTGATTAGAAATCACGAGAGAAAATTAGCTGAGGTGAAGAAACTTTTGAAATCATAAATTGTCACTTAAGTAGAATATCACTTCTTCCCCTCTTTCTGATGACTCATTGAAATTCTTATATACTGCTGTTCCAAATTGTAATTTGCTTTAACTTTGACTTAATGTGATCTCTCTGTGTATGAGGTACATGCGTTGATTTTTCTAACAATAGACCTTACGGTACAACTTTGATTTATTAAAACAATATTAAGTGTTCAATATGTAATTCATTTCTTTTAGTTATTATCTATGGCAACTGTTTCCCTCAGAAGATGCCAAAAAAGTGTGCCTTTATGCGGGTTTTCATCCAGTATGTCCCAGTCAAACTGTAGCCACAGGCATATAATCTCATACAAAAACTGTTTTTGTTTTTGTTTTTTTTTTACAAATGCTGAAGCACAGATCTATCCTCATCAAAAGTTGTTTCTAGAAGACCCAAAGGACTAAGATTAGAGGGCGGATGGAAACTGACATCTAGATGTACAGTGGCAATGGCAACCCATATGGAAGTGAGCCAAATTTTTCTCTCATTAGATTAGTTGACTTAGTTCAAAATACACTTGGGTATCTGAAAATCTAAACTTGTTTCTGATACAATACAAAAGCCCTATTCAGGTTTTATAGCCTGTAACTATGTAGGCCTTTCACCATGGTGGGGATGGAGACACAGGAAGGAGTCATGCATCCAACTCTCCAAAGATACCCAACCCTTTGGATGTTTCCGTATTTGTGAGTCCTGCATTGCATCTCTATGTATCTGCCATGCTTAAAGCCTTACATAAGTTCAGAATACAACATCTGAATATCAGCAAAGGCAAAAATAGATGCCAAAGTCAGAACATCCTTAGTGAATTCCCTAGTGTTTTATTTAAGGGACGTGACATATGTTTTCAAAATTATCCATAAGATGGAGAGGGTCGTCATCTAGTTGTTTAGTTGTTTAGTCCTGTCCGACTCTTCGTGACCCCATGGACCAGAGCACGCCAGGCTCTCCTATCTTCCACTGCCTTCACACTTTCCTAAAATCAAGGTCTTTTCCAAGGAGTCTTCTCGTGAGATGGCCAAAGTATTGGAGCCTCAGCTTCAGGATCTGTCCTTCCAGTGAGCACTCAGG